TTTAGTTTTAGCTGCTCTGGATCCCCTGGCTGCACACATCCAAGCGTCAGCTGATAATTGGGTTTCTCAGAGGTCCAAGAACTGATGTAATATCGCTATATGCTGATGACATCCTATTGTATCTGGGGGATACTCAAGGGATCCTGTGAATGGTTATGGCCCTTATTGGCGACTTTGGTGTCTTGTTTGGGTTCTTCAATAACTGGGATAAGTTGGTCCTCATGCCGTTAGATGCCTTGTTTTCTCCCTTTCTTGACTGTGCTCGTTCAGTACAGATAGTCATCTGTTTCCACTACTTAGGCATTCAGGTTATCCCGGATCCCACCCAATACATAGAACTAAATGTGCTCCTGTTGCTGCGTAAATTTCATGTGAAATGAGCAGCTTGGTGCAAACTTCCATTATAAGTGGTTGGGAGGGTCAGTCTTATACAAATGGTGTGGGCCCCTCAGCTCTTGTACATATATAATAACTCCCCAATTTGGATACCTCAAAGGTGGTTCCTTTGCATAGATTCCCAGTTTAGAGACCTAATCTGGTGTACAAAAATGGCCAGAATCAGATCATTTACCTTGCTACTTTGAAAGGAACAGGGGGGTTTAAATGTCCCTCATTCTAGGTCATATTATATTACCTCCCAAATACAGCAGTTGGGGGGTTGGGGACATGTAGTCCCCTTAAATTCTAACTGGACCCTTCTACCCTGGATTCTAGTTGCCCTGCACTTACTCATCTGGAGGCAGGGCTCACTCATTTGGAACCCGCCAATCCAACAATTGTCTTATTGAGAAAATTGTGAACTTATGTTAAAACTAACTTAGGAATTCAAGGTTTTCAAGGTTTGGCATAATTCCAATTATAGGGAGTTGTTCAAATTCAAAGGTATTCAGAACTGGGAGAAGGCAGGGGTTTGGTATATGACTCTGCTATATGATAGCCCTGTGCTCAAATCCTTTTCAGACTTACAGGAGGAGTTTGCCCTTCCTAAGGGTCAGTATTATAGATATTTCCGACTGAGAAATGCTTTCCATTCACAGTCTTTATTCTCCAGGTTCCTTTTAACTGACCACAGCATAGTGCAGGATGGCCTGATGGACACAGATAAACAAGGTAAAATTTACTTGATTCTTCTTAATTCCTCTCAGAATGCTTCTGTGCCGCCTTGCAGATGGAGTTGGGAGAAGTACCTGGGCACTATTGATGGGGATACCTGGGAGCTTTGTTTGACCTCATGCATACGTCTAAGTTTCAGCATCCCAAAAACTTTCCCACCGATTTCTGCTGCATAGGGCATATAGAACACTAGTTCAGTTACATCAGTGGGGGAATAGGGCCACCCCTCAGTGTCCAAAATGTGAATGGTATCATGAGGACCTCCTCCATATGATATGAGATGCCCCAAGCTGTTCTGTTATTGGACAGATGTCCTAGATATGATATCACAAGTTCCAGTTTTCAAGGATCCTATCGTTTGCTGGGTGCATTGGAGGAAAAATATTTTACCCCACATGTCTATGTAGTGGTCCTACACTGACTCTACACCACTCATAAATTGATTGCCTGCTATTGGATTACTCATCATGTGCCAAACAAGAAACAAAGGGTGGAACAGGTGAACAATACGCTCATATGTGAAAAATTAACATACCAACATATAAATGTTCCCCGTAAACTTTACTCTATGTGGCAACCTTGGCTGGCCATACCAGGTCTAGCACCACATCAATTGGTGATGGATAGACTTCTCCAGGGTTAAGTCCCTATATGGGGGTTTGTGATTTGTTGTGGCTGACTTATTTGAAGACGCTCTTCTTTTTATTACATTAGATGGTATATATATTATTTTTCTTTTGTTTTTTCTGCTACTGTGAAATTTTATTGGTTATTTCATTATTGGTCTATTTTGTATTCCAAGTAAGGTCTTTTGTATGCCTCCACTAATATGACATTGTCCCATACCAACTGTACCGTATGTGTCTCCATTGTTGATCTATACCAGTACTAAGTACCTTCTTTGGAGTCTGTATCTTGCTGTGATATATCTGCTGTTTTTTGCAATAAAATATTATCTGATTACAAATAAAAATTTTTAGAAGTAGCATTGAAGCATGGAAGCATACACAAAGCTACTACCCTAGTGTCTGGTGTAGTGGTGTATTCTCATGCATCCATTCCTTGGTCAGTTACCTGGAAAAAAACATAAAGAAACTGGTTTGCATTTAAATTTTATGTCCTCAATAAATAGTTCCTGGTTCCTGTCTGACAGTGCTTCTAGACATGCAGTTTTTTTCTCTTACCAATACCTTTTCCATGGCAAAGCACCAAGGCAGGAAGAGAAGTGCAATGCACATAGCAAAATATTGGCAGGCCAAAATAAGGATGTGGTTTTAAGAGGCGTAATTAAGCAACCAGAGATATTACTGTACTTAGATATAAGGGGTCATCCAAGCCTGCCACTACATTGAAAATTGTTTGTTTTTTTAACATATTTGAACAGGCAATCATTAGATACAGTATTCATTCAAACAGTGCCTGGAGGTAAAGGTGATATACTTGAATAAGAACAAAAGTACAATTTGCCTTTTCAATTATTTACTTAACAAAAATATCAAACCATAATGGTTTTTTGGCATCAAAACCTGGTATTGTACCTCTGTAGAAGACATGCTTTTTTTGTAGACATTCTGTATGCTGTAGCTGTCCACTATTCTTAGACATCAGCAACATTTTTTAACACTTCTTCATGCAAAATTCCTTCAGTTGCAAGGTGTTTGTTGGTTTTCTTGATTGAACTGCCCATTTCAAAATCCCCCTACAGTAATTCAACTGGAATCAAATCAGGGATATGACTAGGGTGGTCCATAACCCTTTATTTCTGCTTTTTTAACAATTTCTTGGCATTTCTAGTTTAACATTTTTGGACAGATGGCCTCACACTTTCATGAAGCACACTTGGATTTGATGTAGAATGCATAGCCGATATATGTTGCAGCTGAGGATCTGATGCAGCAAACCATGTTTCAAAGGTGTTAGTGGTTCTTCTAAAATACTGTTGTGGTTCCAGAAGACTGGTCTTGCCTATTGTACATGTTCTATGTCAACATGTAATTTTGCTTTAATGTTCTTTTTAGACAGAAAAGGCTTTTTATTACCAAACCTCTAATACAAATTGAATTACTGAAATCTCTTTCTGATTATTGATGTATGCACTTTGACTCCAACTGTAACAGGAGTTACCTTTACATCCTCAATGGGACTTTGAGGTTCTTAGAGACTTCGTTTAGCAACAAATGGTCAGCTCTTGAATTGAATTTGTTGGGCTAGCCAGTTTTGAACAAATTAGCAGTAAGTTGAATTCTATGCCACTTGTAGGTTTCTTTCCTTACAGTACAGTGATTGATTTCAAACAATTTTGCAATCTTTTTAAAGCCCTTTTCAAATCAATATTATTCAATCCTCAGAGGCTTCCACACCTTTCTTTCTGAAGGCCTTGAAGAGTTCTATTGACCTTAATATGGTGACACCGCATGTTAATAGAAAGTTAATACCAAAGAGAACACTAGACCCTACATGTCTGAGGCTTAAATAAGACAAGTTCCACTGGCACACTCCCTACAGGATTTTGAATAATTGCCACTTAATCTGGATTCTAGTTTTAAGGATTTGAAGTGGTGGTAAATGTAGGGGTGTACTCATTTTTTCCATATGACAAGTCTGCATTTTTGTTAATACAGATCTTAAATCTTGAATCTTGATCTTGAAATTAATCCACCATGTCAATTTTAAGAGTCATTTGTTCAAGAATATCGAATGTGAATTTTTGTTAATTTAGGACATGAAAATGAATATACCTTGTCAATTTTATGTGTCAATTGTTCAAGAATATCACCTTTGAAAGAAGATCTCATGTTTGGCTGTTCAAAAAGTCAACAATTTCCATAGGATGTGCTTACTTTTTCACATGACTGTGAATGCAGTTTATGTATTTTAAACATGCATTTATCTATTTGCATGTAGTTTGGTTTAAATACAGTATACAATGCAATAGGTACTTTGCATTATGTTTTGACAGTGACAGATGGATGGGCTGAAAACTTGCAAGTCATGAAAATATAAACACTGTTTAGCACTGGTGGCTGTATAACATGCCTTCAGTGACAATTACTGTACATCACTACCATATGTGAGTGAATGGGCTCAACACTGAATCCCAAGGATATGTATGCATTCCCGGACTTAGAGAGTGATCACTGATGTTAGAGGTTCTTAGCTGCTTTGGACATTCATATTTTATGGGTTCCTATATAAGGTCAGTCAGATAAAGCTGGCCATACTCTGACAGATTTTTCATTCAGCTAATAATCTGACATTCCTCCATTCAGCTATACAGCTCAAATGGACTCCTGCTGAGGCTATTGTATTCTGACAGCCAGCACCAGCAATTTACCTGAACATGCGCTGTATCTAATTGGATACAATTTTCTTTTTGACTCCTTGACTTTTTCAATTGAAGGATGGGAGGGTAGCATTAGAACCACCCATTAAAGCGAATTCCTTCCAGTTCATCAGGACCTGGCAGAAATATGCATAATAAATGGCCAGCTTAAGTGACCTGCACCAGAAAGTGTGGTTATTTCTAACACCCAGTCACATTTATTTCTAATTTCTTTCTAAATTTCTCCAGACCTGTTTGCATGTTTAACCACTGGCCTATGGGACATTTTTACCCCCTTCGTGCCCAGGCCAATTTTCAGCTTTCAGCTTTGTCGCACATTGAATGAAAATTGCGCAGTCATGCAATGCTGTACCCATATGAAATTTTTATTATTTTTTTTCACACACATAGAGATTTCTTTTGGTGGTATTTTATCGCCACTGGGTGTTTTATTTTTTGCACTATAAACAAAAAAAGAGCAAACAATTAAAAAAAAAGTTTTTCTTTGTTTCTATTATAAAATCTTGCAAACAGGTAATTTTTCTCCTTCACTGATTTACGTTGATGAAGCTTCACTGATAGGCAGCACTGATGGGCACTGATGAGGTGGCATGGATAGGCAGCACTGATGAGGCGGCACTGGTGGACATTGATGAGGAGGCACTGATGATGCTGCACGGATATGCAGCAATGATGGACACTGATAGGCGGAACTGATGGGCATTGATAGGCGGCACTGATGAGCACTGATAGGTGACACTGATGGGCGACACTGATGGGCGGTGCTGACTGATGGCACTGATTGACAGCACTGACTGGCGACACTGATGGGCAGAACTGCTGGACCGCACTGATGATTGGCACTAATGGGGGGCACTGATGGATGGCACTGCTGGGCACAGATGGGCACTGGTGGGTGCAGGGGCGGACTGACAACTCATGGGGCCCTCGGGCAATAGGGGATCATGGGGCCCCTGTGTCCTTTCCCAAACTCAAAAAAGTCTATGAAAAAGGTAGCAGGGGCATCTCATGGGGCCCCGTACTGACCCTGAACCCTCGGGCAGTGCCCGAGTTTCCAAATGGTCAGTCCGCCCCTGGGTGGGTGGCACTGCTGGGTGCAGATGGGCACTTGTGGGTGACACTGCTAGGCACTGGTGGGTGGTACTGCTGGGCACTGGTGGGTGGCACTGCTGGGCACACTGCAGGGCACTGATCATCAGTTCCGATCTGCTTGATGATAGCTGCTGGTTATCGGCAGTACTTTCCTCACGTCGTCACAGCGGGAGGAAAGTGCTGCCGATAATCGGCAACTGTACTTATTCTGTGATCTTCTGTGTCATTGGACACAGAAGATCACATAATAAGAACAGTTGCAGATTATTGGCAACTGTACATCTTCTGGACACAGCTGATCACATGTAAAAGGTTGCTGTGATTGGCCTTTTACCTCATCATGTGATCAGCTATGTCCTTAGGACACAGCGATCATGGAGATCGCCGGGTGCGTACCGCTGGGGGTGCACAGGAGGGCGTGTTTCTGGGAAGGCGTCATATGACACCTTCCCAGAACTGGACAACCGCGCTGTAGCCATCATTCAGCTATAATGCAGTAAGCATGTGGTTAAACCAAACACCAGGTGACTTTTATACTGAACTAGGTTCTCTCATCAGGATCACAACATTCTCTATGTATGTTTGAGATAGGGCAACTAAGGATTAGAACCCCTGTCATGTTTTTGTTGCTTTCAGTTTTCCCTCTGGGTAAATTCGCCCTCTCTGTTTATCCTGGTGACCATTGTCACTGAGGCAGAAAATGATGGAAAATCCAACTCTCTGAAAGGCTAATTACTCTCACTTTGTACAGATATCCACTCACTTCCTGTTGCCTCTAGGGGCAGGAAGTGAATGGAAACCTTTCTAACAGGAAACAAACAACAACAAAAATAAATTAAAAGAACTGAAAGGCCTTTAATGGTCAGTTTACACCACATGCAGTCCAGTGCTTTTTTTCCTGCATTACAAACAGATGGACATTAGGTTACATGGATTCCAATGGCAAAGTTTACACCATTGCAGGGCATTCCAGTACAGTTAACAAAAGTAGAGCATGCAGCATTTTTTTCTGCATGGAACTGCCCTGGATCATGGCAAAGCGCATCCAAAAACGCACAGGGGCACATCTAAATGGATTAAAAACACACTGGAATGCATTACAGGGCAGCACAGTGGCTAAATGGTTAGCACTTCCACCTGGCAGTACTAGGGTTGTTGGTTCAAATCCCAGCCAGGCACCTCCTGCCTGAAGTTTGCATGTTCTCCCTGTGCCTGCGTGGGTTTCCTCTGGGTGCTCCGTTTTTCTCCCACACTCCAAAGACATGCTGATAGATTAATTGGATCCTGTCTAAAATTGGCCCTTGTATATGGATGTGAGTTAGGGACCTCAGATTGTATGCCCCTTGAGGGTTAGGCACTGATGTGAATGTACAATATATATGTAAAGTGCTGTGCAAATTGACGGTGCTATATAAGTACCTGAAATAAATAAAAATAAATAAAATTACAGCAAAAAAAAAAAAGCCCAGGGAACTTTAAAAAAATGGAGATTCACTCTCTCTATTTGACCTGTTTAACATTGAAAGTGAGAAGAAAAGAAACTCACAAATTATGGGTTGTCCCCAGAAAAGTGATAGAGGGGAATCTCCCATTGAGGACACTAATTCTGGTAATCTTGGTGTCAAGAAATTCCCTTAATTTGCATGAATTTTTTTCTGTTTTGGCTATGGGACAGGAAATGAGGCTAAGCATACACTTTAAATGAAGTGGACTTTACATTAGTATCTAGGGGAACACATGTATTGCATAACAGCCTGTAAGATTCTCTGTACTAAATTGTATTTGATTGGTCACTGTGTGAGAACATATCATGTCATGAACTTTGGGTATAAAATCGTTCATAAGCAGATACTGTTGCTATTTTCCTATAGCCAGGGCTTTTTTTCAGCGGGAATGCGGGCAAATGCAGTTCCAGCACCTACAGTACTGAAAGTATGTAATGGCAAGGGGTGCTGGGGTGTGCTGGAATGTCTAGTGATGCTGACAGCTTGGGGATCTATTGTCACTGAAGGGTATCTATTTTTGCATGCTGGTCTATTGTTGCCGGGGAGATCTGTTGTTGCTGTTGGGTTGATCTCTTGTTACTGGAAGGGATCTACTGTTGAGGGAGGGGTCTATTGTTTCTGGCTGCTGGAGAGTCTATTGATGCTATCTGCTGGGAGATCTGTTGTTGGTGCTGGGGGTCTATTGTTGCTGGGGTGGTATTTTGTTGCTTGGGGGTCTATTGCTGCTGGCTGCAGGGGGTCTATTTTACTGCTTTTCTTATCATTAACAAATTCCATACAAATTACTTAGCACCACAAAATGATACTTGAGGAAGTCGCCAAAGTCCTCTCAAAAGCCCGCCTCACTACCTGCCCCCTGGACCCTATCCCCTCTCAACTCCTCCGGTCACCCCCCTCTTCCCTCATCCGCTCCCTCACCCACATCTTCAATCTCTCCCTCTCTACTGGCGTATTCCCCTCCCCCCTAAAGCACGCGCATATCACCCCCATCCTCAAAAAGCCCTCCCTGGATCCCGTGGACCCCAACAACCTCAGACCCATCTCCCTGCTGCCACTCACCTCCAAGCTCCTTGAACGCATAGTCTACGATCGCCTAAGCGCCCACCTTACAGACAATAACCTCCTTGACCCTCTACAGTCCGGCTTCCGTCCCCTACACTCCACTGAAACTGCCCTCCTCAAAATCACTAACGACCTACTCAACGCCAAAGCCAAGGGCGACTACTCTGTCCTCCTTCTCCTGGACCTCTCTGCGGCCTTCGACACAGTTGACCACCCCCTCCTCCTTAATAAACTACTCTCCCTTGGCATCGGAGATACTGCTCTCTCTTGGTTCTCATCCTACCTATCTCGACGCTCCTTCAGTGTCACCTACAATGGTGCCACCTCCCCCTCCCTTGCCCTCTCTGTTGGGGTCCCCCAAGGCTCTGTCCTTGGACCCCTTCTCTTCTCCATCTACACCTCCTCCCTGGGCAAACTCATACAATCTCACGGCTTCAACTATCACCTCTATGCTGACGACACCCAAATCTACCTCTCCACCCCTCACCTCACCCCCACTATCTCCGCCCGCATCACTCACCTCCTAAATGACATCTCAGACTGGATGTCGCTACATTTCCTCAAGCTCAACCTCTCCAAAACCGAGCTCCTCATCTTTTCCCCCTGCCAACACCCCCCCCCCATCCTATCCATCATCGCCAACAACTCCACTATCACTCCCGCCCCGCAAGCCAAAGTCCTTGGCGTCATTCTTGACGCGAACCTCTCCCTCCAACCGCATGTCAAATCACTCACAAACACATGCAGGCTCCATCTTCGCAACATTGCCAAGATACGCTCCTTCCTCACCCCAGACACCACCAAACTTCTAGTACACTCCCTCATCATCTCACGCCTTGACTACTGCAACTCCCTCCTCACTGGCCTACCCAAGTGCAGGCTCTCCCCGCTCCAGACCATCCTGAACTCAGCTGCCAGACTCATCCACCTCACCACCCGCTCCACCTCTGCCACCCCCCTGTGCCTCTCCCTCCACTGGCTCCCGATTGCCCAACGCATCAAATTTAAACTCCTAACCCTGACCTACAAAGCCGTTCACAACACTGCCCCTGACTACCTCACCAACCTGATCACCAAGTACCACCCTACCCGTACCCTTCGCTCCTCACAGGACCTCCTTCTATCCTGCTCCCTGGTCTCCTCCTCCCATGCACGACTGCAGGACTTCTCCAGGTCCTCCCCCATCCTCTGGAACTCACTGCCCCAATCCATCAGACTGTCGCCTTCCCTATTCACATTCAGGCGCTCCCTCAAAACCCATCTCTTCAGGGAAGCCTACCCCACCCTCACCTAACGGCCATCCTCCCTCATTCCTCCCACCACTTCATCCCCCTCAGCCACTTCCTACTGTACCTTTACCCCCTCCCTCCTAGATTGTAAGCTCGTAAGAGTAGGGCCCTCTTACCCCTCGTACGTTGTTTGTTGTTGTTGTACTGTGCCATGTATTGTCCCCCCTATTGTACAGCGCTGAGCAAACCCTTTGGCGCTATATAAACTCGTAGTAATAATAATAATAATAATACTTGGCTGTGTATTCTCTAAAAGGAGCAGTACTGGGAGGTGGATAGGGGTGAAACCAAGGGACTGTGCCCGGAGGTGGGTAGGGGGAAAGATACAAGAAGTGATTTAGAAGGGGGGAGTTCCTGCACCTATTCTATGAGAAAAAAGCCCTGCCTATAGCCATGAATTAGAATTAAACCTGCCCTAGAAATTTGGAATCTAAAATTGAATCTACACTTTGCACTCTAATTGTGCAATGTACTTTAGATCTACCAATAACTAAGTAGCAGAGGAGTATCTGGCTGTGTACATATATATATATATATATATATATATATATATAGATATATACATATAGAAAATGCACAATCAGATTGTAATACATGGCAAGCTTAAAGCCCCACTGCAGCCTAATGATGCCAGCACTGCACGTGTACAACTACATAGGTACTTGTAGGTGACTAGTGGAAGAGTTGTGGTTTGGAGGCAGCAAACAGAGGGCTTCTATAAAGCTCAGATACGTTTTAAAGCACAATACAGCATAAAGTTATTAGAGGTATGAGAATGAATGGCCTCCTACACTCACTTTTTTTTTGTTCCTAGAGCTTCCAGACTCCCTCTCTAATAGGCTGACGAAGGTCATATGCCAATATATAGCTTAAAGACTTTTATATGAATTTTGTATGTTAACAGTGTTTCATAAAAGCTTTAAATGTTTCATACCAAATGACCGATTTAGGTTTTTAAGTGTGCTACCCACAATTAGCTTTAAGAATACTGTTCCTGTGTCTGAGTCACCACCTATAAAATGCAACTATTAATCATCTCTCCTCTTTGCCAGTGTCAAACAAAATGGCCTTGCAGAGAAATATCCATTTAAGATGGTTCAAACATAGATTTATTTTGCTACCTAACAACCCGCAGTCATACATTTATAAGATACAGGATGAATGTTCAGGATATGGAAAACGGTTACCC